TCCTGGGATTTTGCGTTCACACCAAAAAGATTTGGAACTAGAACTTAGTTATTTTCAGTCCCTGCTAGAGAGGTGGTACTTTCCTGGGGAGGAAAAGGTTCCAATTGCTGGGCGAATTGCAAACCACGCCCCGTAAAACTCAGAAAAGTTTTGTGAAGCCGCCATTTTATTTGCTTGCATTAGCATTATTAGCATTAGCCCAGCGCGCCAACGGAGAGAGAATAATGCCCCCTTTACACTAACGTGGTTCCCATTCTAGCTCCGTGCTAGAACTTTTCTGGTTCGGAACCGTTTTTCTTTTCAGCCACCGCCTTTGTTCACACCGCCCAGAGCCCGAATGGTGCTGCGTCATTGCGTCATCGTTTGCGTCATGACGTAACCGTTTACGTGCCTGCTTCATAAAGCCAAACCGCACGGAAAACCCTCACATCGACAACAACAACAATGGCCGATTGTATTGAAGAGCTGCTCGTTTTGCTTTTGCTCTGTTTGCTTTGTGTACAAACTGGATAAAACGCTGGCTTTTTGTTGTTGTTCAGGAGGTTGATCCTGCCCCTGCCCCCGCCTCCGACGTAAGCGTGACGTATGCGGTTCTTGCTTCTAGACCAACAATCTTTTGGACGCAGTCTACTATCCCGCAGCTGCTGCCTCTCTGTTGGACTCCGGTACTGCACATTACTCACGAGACGTTGTAAAACAATAAATGAGTGGTGGGCGAATGCACTAACCACTCCGCAACGCCACAGTCACCCCCGTCGTGCTACCAGTTGATGGTCACTGGTTTACATGAATAAAAAGCTACATATCACACAAGGGGACGGGTAATAACCGGAAAAGCATGTCATGGGACCTTTAATGCAAAAATGTAAGTTGCATATCATATGAAAGTAAAAAAAATTGGGTTTCAACTGATGAAATAAGATATTTAAAGACGTCATCTTAGACTTTGACATTTTAAGCACAACACGACTAATCATGGAAACTGCAGTCCAACAACATTGTGCTGCTCCAGTGTTCAATTCTGTGCACACTCAACAAGTCTGATGAACTCTGACTCCCTCCAGGCTGCTTCCCCTCTCATGCTCTGGTTTTCCTGTCGTAGTTCCTTTGTGCTTTCTCACTGAGAACAACCTGTAAACTGATATGGAAAAGCTTGATTCAGCCTTTTTTACTCATCGTCTGGAAACCTGTTTGGTATTGTGCTGAATACCTTCACAGTTGAACTGTAGTCGTCTATTGGTTCGCTGCTGGAATCCGACTCCTGTGCTCTAAGCTGGTATTAGAATAGATTTTATGTAGCTTACAAAACATTCCTTTCAGAATGTCTCACTGCCTGAGCTTTCTATACATTTCTCAAGATGAGAAATGCGCCTTTGTTTGTACTGTATTACAGCTAACCTTACTATTCACTGTTGCAATAATCCAAAGAAAATCACCATACCAGTAAAATATGGAATGTGTAATTCTTAGGAGCTAAAACAGTTAAACATTTATCAATAATAAAAACATATGTTATTGCAGTGTAATTTGTTCACAATTTAAATGGGTTTATTATTTAACCACTTCCTGACGGTGAATTACTGCTAATGCAAGACATATCATCATCAGCTTTGAGTAAGATGTATATTTATTTCTAAGGCAGATTAAACGTATCTGTTCCTTTCCCTTATATCGAATCACTTAAAGGTGGGGTAGGTACATTTGAGAAACCGGCTCGTGATACACTTTTTGTTATATTCCATGGAATGCTCTTAACATCCCAATAGCAATGAATATCTTAAGTGCTTTGACAAAAAATCCATAAAAAAATGTCATCTGTGGAAGCCGTAGTACTGTAAAAAGTACTACCTGCCTGTCAGCCTTCCATCTGTGCACAAACTTATCTCGTGCCCTCATTGGTCATGTGCGCGTTCGTGTGTGTTGGAGGAGGGGCTCTGTAAGGAAGTAGCAGATTTCTTCCGGCTGTGTATTTTCAAATTCTAGCGATCTCGAGCTGGTTTCTCCAAAAATTAACTACCCCACCTTTAAGCTTATTTTAGGGTTAATATTTGTATTTTGTGCCTCTTCTGTACAATGTTTACTTAATTTTCAGATAGGTATTTATTTTTCTCATACTGAGAACTTTGGAATTGTAACCACTGCAGACCATTTATATGCACAAAAAGCTACATTATATAACACTACAGGAAAGGGAAAACCCCCCAAAAGCATGATTTGGCCTCTTTATGTACACTCACAATGTGCATTGTTGGAGGATTCTGGGATATGCACAACATGTCCTATATGTAAATAGACATTTCCGTGGCAAATCTAACCATGAGTCAAATGTCCCTAGCCCTAATTTCACCTCAACATTTGCCAGTTAAATGCATAATTGGTTTTAATATTCTTCTTAAGAGTCTTTCAAAGGCCTTACAATGATGTTGTGTACTGTTTTAATATTATTGCTATTATATATCGTCTTACTTGTTGTGTCAACACTGTTTCGTTTGACACATACAGTAAAGGCCTTTTTTTACTTAGCCAATAATGAAGCGGATTATCATTCTGAAACACTCTCCAAAATTCCATATTCTCCAGTGATCAGAACCTTTCCAGTCAGGCGGTGTACTCCAAGCCCCCGCCATCCACCACCAACCACACCGGAGCGGGAGGAGGAAGTAGCCCGGAGGAAGTAGAGGTGCTTCTGTCCAATAAGAAGACGGCTCCCAGACAGCCCTCCTTCCTGCGGGCCCTCATCAAAGCCTTCGGACCCTACTTCCTGATCGGGTCTGCCTTCAAGTTACTGCAGGATGTGGTCACCTTCGTCAACCCTCAGCTGCTCCGGTAGGAAAAACGTCCTTAACACACCATATTTGCAAATCTGGAACACCAACAGGCTACCATTGTTCCCAAATACTATGTTCAGGGTAGATCTTTGAATGTTTATGTTTTTGCATCCTGGTTAGTTTTTTCCTAAGGTATGGTAGCTCTTATGTAAATATTGTATGTTTATTCATCTTATAATAGACTAGGATGGACATTTTGTGAGAGCATCTGTCTGGTGAAAGCTAGAACTTTACATAAAAAGAAGATATAGATCAGTTTATACAACCACATCATTTCCCTGAGCGCATTTTTTTATGATTATGTTTTGACTATAGATGTGTGGCAGATGCTTTTCTTTACATAAGTCATTTTGATATCATACCGGGGTAATGCTACTATGCTAGTGCTGCAGACCGGACTTTCCTGGAACGACATGGGACTCCTGTTGTAATTCTTCTGAGAGTTCATGATTTGCTGTCCTGTTTTTATAAAATGTATTCCAGCCATGTGTTTCACCTCCATAATTGAATCTATTTGACACAGAAGAAACCAACACATCAGAACAGAACCATTTTAATGCATTTTTAATGAAGCTTCAGCAACCTGCAATTACCAACTTAAAGAATGAAAATAATATTGATTTGTCTCCATGGTCTTGTCAACATGTGAAGAATTACTAAATGTGGACATATAAGGGAGTTTTTAAAGCTTACATTTTTTGTTTCCAATAAAATGTATTAATAGAAGGACTTTGCTTAAGTTATAATTTCTAACAAACGTTGCAGTTTGATACAGATGATATTTTGTCAGATGAAATGTTTTGCTGCCTGATTGTAATGTCTGCGTTGTCAGCAGGGGTTAGATTCAACCCGGGCTGTCTGAGGCTCGTAAGCCAACGCTCTTATGTCATTAGCTTCGCACGTCTTACACAATGTATATTTTAACAATGTGTTTGAAATGGGTGCTCCGTGCACAGAAAGCACTGCTGCATTTCAAATCAAGCTCTCCAAACACCAGCCAGTGTAAGCGATGGTTGGTCAGCTTGTTGAAGGTGTCTCTTCTTGTTTGGTTATGTCAATATGAAATTATAGATAGAAATGCTTATTTAAATGTGTCATATTAATATGATTTTGTGACCAATTAATAATCATTGTTAAAAATTGTGATCTCAATATTGGTTTCTTTCCACATTTATAAAAGTGATGCAAAGGGTTTGTTTGAAAAGGTGTGTAAGTAGCTGTAAATTAATGAATTGAAATTAGCTTTTTCATATTAACCACCTGACCCCAGAGCCCCCCCTCCCCCTTTCGACACACCTGTATCTGAATCTGAATTCAACACCTGGTTGTAAGAACAGTTGTATTTACTGTTGCATGCTAGCAACATATAAAGCAACCAATAGATGGTTTGTTCATGCTATCTCATGTTGACATTTTGCAGTTAAGAAGACGTGTCTATTTAAAGACCATGAGGACAGAACAGAGGGGTTACATAAGAAGCAAACTATGTGCTATTATCAGCACAGCTCATTCCAGATATGTATTGTCTTTTGTGTCTTATCTAAAATAATGTCCCTCCTTCTCGCTCTTTCAGAATGCTGATCTCGTTCACCAAACAGAAGGGTGCTCCTGATTGGTGGGGTTACTCGCTGGCCTTCCTCATGTTCTTCACGGCCTTCTTGCAGACGCTCATCCTCCACCGTCACTTTCAATACTGTTTCGTCACTGGCATGAATGTACGCACAGCTGTCATAGGAGCCATCTACAGGAAGGTATGCAGAAATGTTCACGTTTCATTTTCTGGAGTTTTACCAAAAACAAATGCAACAACTCTTAAACAGCCCTCAAAACTTCACTTCTCCCCCTATTATTGATCTGCAGTCGCTAGTGATAACTAACGCCGCCAAGCGCTCCTCCACGGTGGGAGAGGTGGTCAACCTGATGTCGGTGGACGCACAGAGGTTCATGGACCTCACCACCTTCCTCAACATGCTGTGGTCTGCTCCTCTTCAGATTATGCTGGCCCTTTATTTTCTCTGGCAGGTAAGTGCACAAACTATGCATTTGATAGCTATGCTAGGCATTTCCCTCCATATTCTTTTGCGTGAACCTTTCTTTATGGGACACAGTAGACTTTTGCTTTCTCACTAGTAGTGAATGTTTGACCATGCTTTTAGTTCCTAGGCCACTTAGTCTGATCAAACGGATGTATACCATTGAGATCAGAATCAGAATAACTGTATTCGTCCCACAGAGGGGACATTTACATTGTTAAAAGTAAAGAGCCAAAGATAGCTTAATATTCATTAAGAAGCATGCATAAAATATTAAAGATAGAAGTAGGAACGACACAATTTACAATTTACAAAACTCACATCTAGTACAGTTAAGAGATAGCAGCCAGGTGATAGTATTACAGGTGGAAGTATATATATTGCAAAGTTATTTACTGATGGATTAAGATTAAGGGTCTATCTAAAGAAGAGCAGCAAGTTATACAAACTAATAATTATGAATATAAACATCTCAGTTCTGACTAATGTTCCAATAAAGTGAAACCTTTTATAAAGACCCAATGTACTAATACGTAAAGATACAGTGGAAAACATTGTACCTACCAGGGCTGTACGGTGTTTTCCAAACAACAAACCATGGATTATCCCTGAAATAAAGGCTCTACTCTACCACTACTAAGGGACACAAAGAGGGCCTTTACATCAGGCAACAGAGAGGAGCTGAGGATTGTGCAGAGGTAGCTGAGGAGGATCAGAGAGGGGAAGAAGAGCGGCAGGAAGAGGAACAGCTGCAGCAGAGGAATGTCAGAGTCTTGAGAGGCCTGAACATCTCTGGCTACAAAGAGCTAGACTCCCAGGCCCAGGCAGGGGGACCGTCAGTGGGCAAACAACCTGAATCATTTCTTCAATAGATCTGATCAGTCAGGTGCCCCTCCCCCTGCCCATTCCCCCCCCGCTGCACCCGTTGTCCCATCTGCCTGCACATGACCCTCCCACTCCTCCCCCGACCCGCAGTGTCTCGATACCGCAGGTCCTTTCTTCCTGCAACAGTCAGACTCTACATCCATCATGGCCCCTGGTGGATCCCCACACTCACACTACAACACAGACTAAGATACCACTGTTGTGCAATCACACCAACGTGCAATAATGTAACAAACAAGAGTACGACTCAAATGTTTTGTAATGACACTTGTGTGCATTAGGTACAGTTTTTGTCCCCATCTTCACTTTTGCTGTAACCATGTAAATGTCCCCTCTGTGAGCATTCAGCCAAACCCGGCCAACCCTTTCAACAATATAGTTTTAGTTTTATTTTGTTATGATTACTTAAGCACAACAATTCTATTTAACAACATTTTCTGGTACTCTAAACAAAAAAAATCCATAGTACTAGATTATTGAAATAATTGATAAATATATACTATTTATAATTTTTATACATAAAATGACCTCCTCACGGAATGTAATTTGCATGCAGGATCCATCTGGTTTAGTTCCACTACAGACTTGATGTTCCAATATGAAATGTTATAACAGTTCAGTTGTATTCCATGGTGTTTCCTGATGGATGAAAAACAAATGTTGGTTGTCCACAGCTGACTTTTAAATAACGGGACATCTTTCTGTGGCAAAATGAACAACCTCTCAATTGTCCAAATGATACAAAAATGTGCTAAAGAGCCGCTTACTGTTATATTGGTTTTTAATGATGTTTGCAGTCATTTATTGACGCTGTTGTTTTTTCAGAACCTGGGTCCCTCCGTGCTGGCGGGGGTTGCTGTGATGATCATGCTGATCCCTTTAAATGCTGTCATTGCCATGAGGACACGAGCCTACCAGGTATGAGCGGAAATAGTATTTGACAAAAAATGTAATTGTTGTCTTTTGACTTTGGAACCAGCAAATCAGTGATATTTACAAAGTACTTGATTAATTTGCAAAAAGAAATGTGCATTCGAAATAAATAAAAGCTTTAGTATATACCAAGAGCTACTTTAATTGTTTTATTCTTTTTTATTTGCATTTTAAGAAATGAAATGGTTAAACGACATACATGACGGAATGGCATACTGATAAAGCTAGAGTAAATGAATAATATTGCAATCCACAAATCAGAAACAGTTTAAAGTAATCTGTAGTCTAAAGTAGTTTTGTGTCATCGTTCTCTCCTTCCCCCTCCTCTTCCTCTCTCCCAGGTGGAGCAGATGCAGTACAAGGACGCTCGTATCAAGCTGATGAACGAGATCCTGAACGGCATCAAAGTGCTGAAGCTGTACGCCTGGGAGAACTCCTTCAAAGAGAAGGTCCTGGACATCCGTCAGAAGGAGCTCAACGTGCTGCGGAAGACTGCCTACCTGGGAGCGCTTTCCACCATGGCCTGGACCAGCGCCCCCTTCCTGGTAGGCTCTGCTCACATTTCTGGAGGCTGGCTGTCTTTTAAACTGCTTTTTGAATCTTCATGTTATAAGGAGCAGAATTATGTTGTTTCCTTTTGATCAGATTCCTTATTAAAGCGTACCTGTGAATTCTGATTGTTGCACATGCATAGTGACGTTAAGCCAAACGCACAATGTTTGTGTTTGTTTGGCAACGGAGCAATGGGGAAGATAAAAAACAAATGGTGCTTATAAACTGCGACCCACCTTGTTTTTTTCCTGATGATGCTACCTACATAACATCGCAACAAATCTTTGATAGAATAAACAGGAGGTGGCTAGATAACTTGGCTAAGAGAGCCAGCCAACATTTACTTACGTTTCACATACTAAAATGTACTTTTTGAAAAGAAACCTGAATAATTACAGTTGATAAAGAAGATGCTTTAACAGCAAAAGGATATCAAAGATGAAGATTTATTCAGTGTTTCGATCACTTTGTCCATTGGTTTTGTAGAGGAGATCTCTGCGGATAATTTGACTTTGAAAAAACCTCTTAGCAAATAACGATGAATGTGAGAAGCTGTCTGCAGTGGCAGAAATGGTGATGGAGGCAACAACTCCCATGATGCCATTAAAGTCCTTTATAATCTTTTGTTATTGTTTTCCTAGTGGCAGAAAATTACATCAGAATTTAAGAAAATTGCATTAGCTGGCTACGGTTACATGGGAGACTAAATACAGAATACTTGTGGCGGAACCGTTGCCATCTTACATGTTAACATCTTGAACATCTAGTAACATTTGCACAACATGAACAGCAAGGATGGTTGAATAATCTTTCGACTGACCCCCCCTCCACCCTACACCAGAGGCGTCTCGGGAATCATTGACTGCACAGAGGCTACACACACTCCAGTGCACACGCCATAGCAACATTACACGCCACTTTTCACCAGCTGATTGCCTGCTTACCAAACCAAATCCTCACGATTATATGAAACAAGTTGCCATGCCACTGCTCCCATAAACACACAGCCAGTGTGTATCAGTCTTTATAAACTGAATCCGAGATGTTGTGAATATCTGCAGCTGTTGATAGTGAGGTCATTGCTGAGTCACCGGTTGAATGAGATTAACGTGTGAGTGTGTGTAGCATCACAGCACTGACTGCTACAGTAAATGATGGGTCTGTTTGCCCATGTGCTTTGCAGGTTGCTTTGACAACGTTTGCCGTGTACGTGTCTATTGACGAGAACAACATCCTCGACGCAGAGAAGGCCTTTGTGTCGCTCTCGCTCTTCAACATCCTCCGGTTTCCTCTCAACATGCTTCCCCAAGTCATCAGCAGCATGGTGCAGGTGGGAATTTTTTTTCTTTTTTCTGTTAATTGTGTTCACCTATCTTTTTTGTGTGTGTGATTTCATTTTGTGTGTGTTTATCATGCAGGCCAGCGTCTCACTGAAGCGAATAGAATCTTTCCTGAGTCATGAAGAGCTGGACCCAAATTCAGTAGACAGGAAGAACACAGCCGCAGGTGATTAAACACTCCTACTCCTTTCACAGACCTTAAATCAACATGTGGGTTCTGTGTTCCCTTCCTTGCCATACTTTGATTATGTTTGCACATCTGATGTTATTACGCATGCTTTTAACTGACAGAAGACCTTTAGAAAATGTGGCTTGTCATTATTTGTCATCATTTTGAATCTCTTGTCTGAACTCAATAGCGTCTTAAGGTTCAAGGAGTTTCTCAAAGACACTGCTTCCAACGCATCCCTTTCGCACAGTGAGCTTGAAGAGCTTTTGCATGACTAACACTTCAAAAATGCCGTTTGTACTTCCAACGGGTGGAAAGTAACTAAGTACATTTGCTCAAGTTTTGTACTTTACTTGAGTACTTACATTTATAGACAGTACATACTTCTACTTCTCTACATTTCAGAGACAAATATTCTTATTTTTACTCCAATACATTTATTATATTATACTCAGTTACTTTGTACATCTACACACACCTGAAATGCTAATATGATTTAAAGTGTTTTTTCTCTTTCCTTTAGTGTGTTAACTAGATTTTGGTGAATTGGTCTGCAAGGGTTAAAATCCCAAAGTCCTCCCCCGTCTGAAACACGTCCATTGGACTCCTTTTTTTACTTCTGTGACACTGTAAAGTCACTATTTAAATCTCGCGCTTCTATTGTCTAGCGCTCCGACACGTTGTACATGATAGGCTAAGGGGCGGGACATCTCTAAGTGGTTGCCCATCACATCAGTGCCGACCTGCTAACCAATCAGAGCAGAGTGGGCTCTGGTTTCAGACAGAGGAGGAAAAGAGGTGCTGCAGCACAGGCAGTAGGAGAAAAGTAAAGGGCTTTTTGAACATTAAAGCATGGAGACATGTCACAGTACAGTCACAAAATACAAATATGAACCTGAAAATATGTCCTCTTTAAAGCAGCGGTACAAATAATCTTCATCATCATTGTTAATGATGGCTGAGGTGAGCCCATTAACACCTTCCTCTGGAGTTGGGAATCACCAGCTGTAAACTTCACCCAACTTCATGCAAGCTCATTTCAAATAGAGTTTTTGGGTGTTTGGGTGTGGGGGTGTAAATGACTGTAAATAAAACATGGCAGATGTAGCTAATCATATTTTTTTGATTAGACCAGCTGCTGTATACTCAGTTTAAATATACACAATGTTAAACATTAATATTGTACATTTCCCAGTAGACCATCTTGCTCTTCAAGATTTGACAGAAGAGGTTTCCAATTTCCAAACCGGGATAAATTATCTGAATTTACAATACCTCCAAAAAAAGCAAAAACAATACTTTTTTTCCCATAAACCAAAATCAGCTGTATTTCATCAGAGGCAATAAGCAAGCAGACACATCTGGTGTGTTTACGTCTCACAGGCTCGCGGGTGCGGGGTTCAAACTGAGCCAGCAAATATCCTCCGCTGTATCTTTTCAGAGAATATGAACCTGAAAATGAGCACAATAATGCAGTACTAATCTCCACAGTATTTCAAGTATCTACATTTGGTCTGCACTGACAACTACAATACTAAAATGCTCTTACATGTATGAAAACACGATATTACAAATATGATAATAGAATACTGTGAAAGATCCATTCTGCATAGTGGGTGCTTTTGATACTTCAAGTACATGTAGCTCAGTGGTTCTCAAACTTTTTCTGTCATTCCCCACTTTGAACAGATGGGGCTTTTCAAGCCCCACCTGTTCCTCATCGCTCCAATAAAATGTTAGGCCAAGCTTAAAATTGTCATATGTATCGTTCTATAACAGGGGTCTCCAACCTTTTTTAGGATGAGAGCTACTTTAAAAAAATAAAACAAGTCGTGAGCTACTTTTACTCCTCTTTTGTTGTTTTTTTGCAGTGTATATATTTATCAATCAATCAATCAATGTTTATTTATATAGCCCAATATCACAAATGTTACATTTGTCTCAGTGGACTTCACAGTTTGTACAGAATATCAGTATGACAATACGACACCCTCTGTCCTTAGACCCTCACATCGTACAAGGAAAAACTTCCAGAGAAAACCCACAGTTTAAAGGGAAAAATGGGAGAAACCTCAGGGAGAGCAACAGAGGAGGGATCCCTCTCCCAGGATGGACAGACGTGCAATAGATGCCGTGTGTAAATTGAAAAGATAATACATTTGCAACATAGGTAGTCCAAATGTTTGGAAATGCATGTGTGTATAATAAGAAGATGAATCCACGAGGATATCCATCCAGGACTTATGATCCAGGACCACAGCCACGTGTGTTTGTGTGTGTCGCACGTGCAGTTGCGTCTTTTCGTTACACCCCCGGCCGTGCCGTGTGAAGCTCATTCCTCAAATTCGGCTGTCGACACAGCTTTGCGGCAACACAGGGGTGAACATGTTTACTCCGTACAATTAACTCATTACAACAAAATTGTGTTCACTAGTATAAATTTCTAAAAACCTAATAACTTGCATACATGTCCGCCGCGGAATACTCCAACTGACATAGTATTTAATAAAAACTCGGTTCACGTGGTCTAACTACGAAATGAAGTCTATAAAATTTTTTTGAGAACGGCCCCGTACGGCCTTGGGGATCTCCTTCCGCTCCAGGTGGGGGTTTATTCTCGTCCAGATTTTATTAATTCCTACTTTATGTAAAATTAAATCATTTGTGACTTTTGCCCAGGGTTTTCTGGGTTTTGTGTGTGTTTCCAATTTCCATTCGTAATAGTAGTTACAAGTTTACACGGATTTACGGGAATGTGGACCGAGCGGATATCTTGTGTCCTATCTTAATTTTTAAGAGAAGAGCGGATGTTTTCGGGAATTACCCGTCCGCGGTAGAATGCAATTTCTTGAGTAATATGGGATAACCAGGATGATCCCGTAACGCAAGGTTCTTACGTCCCAACAACCAACAAAGGATCTCCAGAGATTTTTCATGTTTACCCTCGGTCTCGGAAAAGGAATAGTTACGAGGTGAAAACACCTTAGTCGAAGGTCAAACACAAGCCTGCCGTCTGTGCGGATAGGCAAAAATTCTCACGCGAATTCTGGAAGGAAAAACTATTTCGAATATCAAGTCCCGACCTAATCTAAGTCGGATCAAAACGACCTATATCCGGAATCAAACAGCCCCTGTAGAATGAAGAGGAAGAGAGACAGATATGGACACATGAGTAGTTACAAGGCTAATTGTGGTCGAAGGGGTTAAAGAAAGAAAACCACAGATATATGCGGCCCTAAGCCCAGTACCTACTAGGACGGCCAGGACAAGTACCTAGCGCTCAGAGCCNTTAGATCATGCAAAATGCACTTTTGTACGTCTTTTATGTAAAGGATAATGTGCAGCGACGCGGTCATTATGGGGAAAAGAACACCGACAGGCTGATCAGGAGCGGAGGGATCTAGATGAGGTGTTTATTACATGGCCACATTCTCAACAAAGTAACGATATGGCTCCCAATATTAATTGAAATGCTTTTATTGATTTAGAAAATGTTTTTAATGATTAAAAACATAGTTGTAACTGATTTTAAAATGACATTCATCCGCTACGAAAAATAGTCCGTTGTTCATGTTTGAACTACGCTGTTGCAACAGCAGGAACTGCTTCGATAGTAACTAACTCTGTGCATGTTAGCATTTGAGCCTTAGCTGTAATCAACAGTAACCTGAACGTTTCCATTAATAGTACAATGTGACATGGTAAATGGGAAATCTTTAGGTGCTGGCTGACGTCTTTCCCGTTTTTGCGGAGCTTTTTTACAACAGATGTGAAAACATCGTTGCTTGCTTTAAAAGTAGCGCAGTTCATGATGTCAAACCTTGGAAAGTTTCTTGATATCCCTGCCCTAATGTCCAAGCAACTGGCAACTGAATAGGTTTTGCCGTTTGAGGTCTGGACTGTTGCGTAAAAGGACCGCAGCTGCGTGTTGAGGGTTTCTGCTCCATAGCTGTCAAACTCCGTTGGTTCTTTTTTTTCAATCAACCAGTCTTTCAATAATTTCATAGCCCATAATGTGTTCCATTTAGTATTCAATTCATTCCTTTCCTCTTCTATTTGGTCGGTTACTCTGACATTCAAATCTCTGTGTCTTTTCGCCTCCCTTACTTCTCCGCTGTTTTCTTGTCCCTCTTGTCTTTTTCTTTTCTTCACTGGGGACTCATCAGCCACTCACCATTCCTCCAAATTACTGCTCTCCAAATATATTAAAAGTAATGTTAAAATCCTCCATGTTGTTATCACACGACAGCGGAAAACTAAAGACAAGCAGACAGTTTGCTTGCTTTTCAAACTGTTAAATTTGAAAAAATATTAAATGACCGAACTTCTTTCTGAGCGTCTCTTGTTCGAAAAGCAAACTACACACGTCACAGCCCATGACCTTTTCGAGAATGTAAAAAAAAAAGTAATTAAAAAAAAAAACTGCTCACTATCGCCCCCTATTGTGTGGTAGTCACATATAGTTTCTCAGAACTTCACACATTTTGGCGCGAACATATTTGTATATAGCTTTTATTAGCCCCCCAGGAAGTCGGCCATTTTGAAAAATTTGTGTTTTTCATGCATTTTAAGCACATTCTTGCAAACTCCTCCTAGGGGAATGATTGGAAAAATTGAGAAGAACATTTTTGATAGCTCAATCGTGGAGGTCGTAAGCTAACAGCAAATACAACATTTTTGACGATTTACATGTCGCAAATTACTCCAAACTACTCGGATATAGTTATTCCGATATTTACGAAACGCTGTATACATATTTATATTATGATTGCACACATATTTGAAATTGCCTTCCATTAGCCCCGCCCCCAGAAAGTTGGCCATTTTGAAAAATGTGCGTTTTTCAGCCATTTTAAGCACATTCTGGCGAACTCCTCCTAGGGGAATGATCGGAAAAATTCCAATGCAGGACAGGTTCAGCCCCTGGCCAATTTCATGAAGAATTGCGGATTACATTTTTGATAAATCAATCGTGGAGGTCTAACAGCGAATACACAATTTTTGACGATTTACATGTCGCAAATTACTCCAAAATACTCGGATATAGTTATTCCGATATTCACAAAACGCTGTATACGCATTGCTCTTTTGATTGCGGACATATTTCAAATTGGCTTTTATTAGCCCCGCCCCCGACAAAGTCGGCCATTTAAAAAAAAAAAAATCGTTTTTCATGCATTTTAAGCACATTCTTGCCAACTACTCTTAGGGGAATAATCGGAAAAATTCCAATCCAGATCAAGTTCATCCCCTATCCAATATGATGGTAAATTGCGAAGAAAATTGTTGATAAATCGATCGTGGAGGTCGTAAGCTAACAGCAAATACACAATTTTTGACGATTTACATGTCGCAAATTACTCCAAACTACTCGCATATAGTTTTTCCGATATTCACGAAACGCTGTATACACATTGCTATTATGATTGCACACATATTTCTAATTGCTTTTCATTAGCCCCGTCCCCCAGAAAGTCGGCCATTTTCAGAAATGTGCATTTTTCATGCATTTTAAGCACATTTTTGCAAACTCCTCCTAGGGAAATGATCGGAAAAATTCCAATCCAGCACAAATTCAGCCCATATCCAATGTGATGCTAAATTGTGAAGAAAATAGTTGCTAGCTGAAACAAGGAGCTCGTAAGCTAACGGAGAATATACCTTTTTGGACCATTTATATGTTGGATAACCTACTGAGTCCTGTCTGTCTGCCTGGCACATCAACGCTCACACACACACACACACACACACACACACACACACACACACACACACACACACACACACACACACACACACACACACACACACACACACACA